AATTTATAAAAAATTAAGTTAAATTTTCTAATTGCGGTCGCCCCTCAGCAGGGAATGTCAACCCCTCCGAGTGTATTTCTGACATGAAATAAACCTCCACGTAAAGTGCTGTAGGTCTCTCCATTTGTTGGAAAACATCAAGACGCTCCTTCAATTTAAATCTACTCAGAAGAGAAAGATAAACAAAAAATTGACTACCGTAATCGTTGGGAGCTTATTGGTGAGCCCATCAGCCCATCCTCGAAGGGTAGCTATTTCATAGTGAGATGAAATGGCTACGATGGAGTTGTGATACGATAAAGCCTGGTTGGAGCTGACCAGTAGCGTAGCATAAAACGATTGAAACTCATTTCCAGCTCCTCACTTCATAACCCTTTCAATTTTTCGTCGAGTGAACCTTGGAGCAAAAAATATTTTTTTCAATATAAAATCAGTCTTTTAATTTGTGGTTTTCTATTTACTCAAATCCCATAGGATTTTAAGCAAATATAATAAATCACCCTGAGAAAGGTAACGAAATCGTCATTCCAGTAAATAAAGGTGGGTACCATAGTCTAAGGAGCCTGTTTATTACCGTTTCTAACTAAATTTTCACAACGTCAAGACAAATATTGTTTGTCAGCACATTAGGAATTTATAGATCAGTATTTAGATCTACATATAGATATATACACATGTCCTAAGGGACGAAAGAAATTTCTAAAAAGAAGTGAGGTTACATTCAAAATTTTCATGAGAATTCGGGAATAATATCCTTTTGATCTCTCATTTAATTGCTTCTTTTACGATTTTCCCAAAGAATATTAATAAACGAAAATTAATTGTCTGCGGCCGCGATAGCTAAAATGTTAGCATTGCGTACTGCCATTCGAAAAGCCTTGAACCCTGGTCTGACCAACATCCAAACATTATAATTTTCTAATTGCGGCCGCCTCTCGGCAGGGAATATTAATTTCTTCCAGTAAATTTGTGACATGAAAATCAAATAACAAAAATCCATCGGCCGTTCGGAGGCGGCGTTGTATAAACTGTAAGACCACAAATTGGAGGAGGAGCTCAAAGAGCCAATTATATATAATATAAATTATAGCAACCAAAACATGCATTTTTTCCAAACTGTGTCAGAATCTGACCTCATGACAGAAATGTTTCTTAGTAAATCGAAAAATTATTATTAATAAATACTAACTAAATTTTATTCAGTTTGGTCGAGTGGTTTTCGAGATATGCCTTTGGACAGTGATATATATATATATATATATATATATATATATATATATACTCGCATATACAGTATGCGCGAAAACTGAAGCTCGGGGTGTGCTTTAAGCAATTTATGCTAATGCTGTTTTCTTAAAACCAATTAATTGGAATTTATTTTATATTTTTTTGCATTTTATTTATGTTTAAATATTCATTTTTAATAAAGCAATATACTTTTTGTACATTTTTTTTTCAATTTGTAAAGTTTAATATAAAAGAATTCACAGTAGTCCAAAACTCGATCGACAAAACTAAAGCACCCCCTTCATTGGTGTTAAGAAAAACGTCTCCAGGCTAATATTTTGTAGAAAACCCCTTACTTTGAATGACTAAATGTTGTTTCTCTGGGCAATGTATCGCACCAATTCATCGAATAAAAGGAATAATGAATCGTTTCATGTAAACTGACATTTTCGAAAATGTTATGCTGCCATATGCTAAAGAGCAGAAGAGCCTTTGTAAAATTTGGTTGCGACTCAAAGATATAAACTTTTAAAATAACCCGCTTACTGCCGTGATCGCAACCCTATTAAGAACTTATGAGAGGTGGTAAATATGCAAATTAAAAGGGAACACTGTAGAACCAAGGACGAATTGTTTAAAGCCTATAAAATTAGCATGGGAGGGCATATATCAATATTTTTTCGATAACTTGATATCTTTAATGCCTAAAATCAGCGCTTCAGACATCCAAAGTAAGGGGTTTGCTACAAAATATTAGCCTAGAGACGTTTTTCTTTACACCAATAAAGGGGGTGCTTTAGTTTTGTCCATCGAATTTTGGACTACTGTATACTCTTTTATGTTAAACTTTACAAATTGGATAAAAAAAATACAAAAAGTTTATTGCTCTATAAAAAATAAATATATAAACATAAATAAAATGCAAAAAAATATAAAATAAATTCCAATTAATTGATTTCAAGAAAACAGCATTACCAAAAATTGCTCCAGGTGTGTGCCTTAGTTTTAGCCAATACTGTATATATGCGTAGAGTAACAACAAGAAAATAAACAGCTATTGAGTAAATGTTAACATACGAGTATGCTGTTGATTTGGATTATTATTTATTACTTTATATTATGTATTGCATATAACCGTGGAAAGAACAACATAAACTAACCTGAAAACTATTATTTAATAACTTTAAGAACTTATTAAAAGCTTTAACTCAAGTCATTTATACACACTTAAATATTTGTATATATATACATGTATTTGTAAATCAGTAGATATGTACATACACATTTACGAGTATATTGTTTAATATACATACATATATTACGTGTTCTAAATTTTGTATTTAAACTTGAAAACATTTTTTGACAATATAATCGATTGTTTGAATTGTTGAATTTGGTAACAAAAAAGTTATATTCATGTATATTCGATTAAATATTTTAAATCAGCAACTGTATAACATTTTTAATTAATAAATAAATATTTACTCGGAAACTGAAAAGTGTTGAAAATCAAATTATATACAAAGTCAAGAAAAAAACCGCATTTTGACAGCGAAATTTGTTTTTCAGTACCTAAATAATCCTCTTCTCCTTCATGGGAGTGAGCACGGCGCTTACGCGATTACTGCCGAATCCAAAATAGCGCGGCATTCGTTTGTTATCTTCGCTGTTTGGCGGAGTAAAATTCTTTCTTTTCCACTGCTTCCACCAACGGGTACTGCATCGAATACTTTCAAAGCTGAAGCGGTTCATTCATGACCCAGCCACGACTGTCAATAGTGTCGTGAGAACCGAGTTTCGTACGCACTGACTGCTTATTTGATGGCAGGAGATTGTTCGTCTTGTCCTCGTTCTCTACCAGATCCATTCTCTCCGCTTGTACACTCTTATAAAAGATTACACCTAATCGAATTAACTTTGTAGCTCATATTTTTTTTCTCAAGCAATAAATTTAAGAAATCACACGATAAGGAATCACATTATTTGATACCTAGTTTAGTTCCGAACAGCTCGGAGAGATCCTTATCGATTCTGATGGAGTTTCTGGTGTTGCTTAACGTGAGTTTACACATTCGTATAAGTTTTTTGGACATTTTCTCAACTAACCGTATTCTGCAAAGTAGCTGACGCATGAACGTTGTCAGTTCTTCACCGCTACATTTAATTAGCTCCAATGGTAAGCCATCAGCTCCCGCCGGTTCGCTGTTTTTCATGTTAGAAATTGCTATTCAAACTACTTCATAGATAGACATTGGAGATGTAGATTTTTTCCCCTATTAAACCCAGTAAGCTCTAACCATCTGGACTTTGACCATTTTTTATCACCAACTCTGACCTTTAAACTCACTTGTCCAAAGCGCAAAAGAAATCGTAAGCGGCGTTACAGAATTTGATTAAAAAGTTTATTGGTCCATAAGTCGAGCTCGCCGAGACACACGAGCCTTATGGCCAGAACCATTTTGTGCAAAGGATGCTGTCAAAACTTTCTCAGAGATCAATCAGGCAGTCTTTTCCGGTCAATTAAATCTAGTACTGCCGTGTTCTAGGTACCTGGACACTGTGACATCCCAAGCAGTTGCAGCTTGGTAGACGAACAGGCAAGAGAAGGAATCCTTCTACCCATAAAAAAAACGTCGACACAAAATACATGCTTAAGCTGGCCTTTGCCAAGGAAGCACACACAAGATGGCTGTAGGAGATCACATGTAACTTGACCGTCCAAGCTATGGCCGACGTTGGACGCGAAAAAATCTAAACATCTTATCCTTCTAGATTGATTCTCCACTAACATAGTGACTTCCATAACAACTAGTCGCTGTTTAAAGGGTCTTCATGGGAAAAGAATGGGCTAATGATTTTTACCGCGTCTGTAGGGACGAAGAACAGGAAGGGACCATTGATCACTACCTCTGCCACTGTCCAGCCTTGACATCCGCGATACACATGTTTCTTGGCAAACATTTCTTCGATTGTCGTGCTGAGCCAGCCTCAGGGGAAATTGGGAATCTAGTTGCATTTATAAGGCACACGAAATGGTTCGATCAATTGAGAAGGTGAACACAGGAGCCTCATAGCGGTATTACAATGGGCCTATTGGTCTAATTGCGGTGGTAATGGCCAGCAGCGCATCAACTCAACTCATTCATTTCCCAATTTCAGTACGAAGCGATTGAGAATAGTCTTCAGGTGAGGTCAAAAGATATAAACAGATAATCCGAGAGAGAAAGTGTATTTATTACAAGATCTGATCTAGTCAGAGTCAGAGAATGTCAACAACCACTCTGAGCGTATTTCTGACATAAAATAAAGCTCCTCATAAAAAAACCATCAGCCGCTTGGAGGCGGCTTAGTATAAACTGTAGGTTGTCCAGTGGTTGGAAAAACCTCAATATGCATAAAGCACAAATTACAAAGCGCCAAATATATATAGATATAAAAATGTCAGAAATTCACTTGGGTTTGATAGAGAGGCGGCCGAACTAGAAAATTTATCGCTGTTCTTATGGTCTTTCCGAAAACCAATAGTTTTGATTTCAGTTGTCCATAGGAAACTTGAAATACCGACCCACGGTGGTCTTATATCCAGTTGCCCGTAAATGCTCGCAAAGAGCCATCTTATTCTCCAATCTTTTTTACCGCATAACTATTACCAACTTTTCCGAACGAACTTAAATGATCTCTATAGGCAATAAGGAAATCCATTTTCAATTCTACTAGTGTTATCAGCTGATAACGAATTCGACTTGTTCATAGATATTTTCGAATATTTTTTGACACAACAACACACAAAGATGGATTTATAAATTTTCTTTTGAACATTCTTCTTTAATTTATCAATTAATAGCTTTCGCTTTGAAATTTCCGTGTGTTTTTGTTTAGTATTTTGTATTTGAGAGTGTGTATCTGCGCTTACTTGTATAACGGTACAGCTTCTACGCAAGCGCCACAAAAATTGCAACGAAAAAAAACGCAAAAATACTTTCACCGTTATCATAAGCTTTTCTAGTTTTGGTATGTCTAAATTGAAATTCTCAAGACCGATTGAACAGGCTAACGATGAACCAGTCGTGAAGTTGCCGCGACGTCAACTGAGATCTCGCAATCGTGACAGGAATTCAAATCCACCACTCAACTTGTGTGATCTACCAATCGAATTACTTGAGAAGATCATTGGTTATATAAATATTTGGCATCATAATCGTATACGCGGCACTTCCAAACGTATGCGAGACGTCAGTGATGCATTCATTATGCACGAATTCAAGAAGGCTTATCACAAGTCGTTATTGAAGAATCCGAACAGCTACAATTGCGCAGCATTGCAGACGATCGATCAGGCGACGGAGGTGTATGTAAAGTCGGGCTATGAATCCACATTCTGCGGCTGCATATTGCCCATGCTGCGCAGCTCATACAAAGATCCTTTCTGTCCAAAAGTTTTACAAATCAAAACGTTTCTGCTACATTTCTACGATATGGTCGATAAGTTGATTGGTGATCGACGATCGCAGCACTCAAGATTACTATTCAATTTAACGCTAATGAGGTTCTTTAAGGTAAATTGGTATTGAGCTGGATAAGTTGGGTAATCGAAATCATAAACTGCAATGGGCAAAAGTTAGTTAGTTAAAGATGTTGTTCCATCGAGGCACTCTGCTCCAGCGCACTTACACCTTCTCTTCTTCATTGGAGTTGACACCACAATAGCGCGTCTTCCGGTTCTTGTCTTCAATGTTTGGCGCTTGTTGATGATAACTAGAGAAACCATATCGCTCTTCTCCTAGTCCTTCCAACGGGGTGGAGGTCGTTTGCTTTCTCGGTTGCCACCGGCGAGTACTGCATCGAATACTTTCAATGCTGAAGCGCTTTAATTTCTTACGGCGTAGCCGCTGTCTCTTCATTCGCTGAACTATAACAAAGTCATCCTACAGCTTACCGTTCCATCGTCGGTCACAAACCTCTTCTTTCAAAGACCCCCAGGCCCGCCTCATCGGAAGATGTCTACGCTTCAGCACCGTATAGTAGGGTGGGAATGATGAGTGATTTGTAGAGTTTGATTTTCGGTCGTTGAGAGAGAACTTTAGCGCACTTCGGCCCATAGACCCGTGAACATTGCCTTACAATAGGTTAGGAGGGGCTATAGTGGCTGGCTGCTATGCGTTATTCTAACCTGGTCGACATCTTGTGCAAAGTTTCTGTTAGTCTCAGTATTAAAATCTGTTACTTCAACCAGTGTTTTGAACTGCGAAGCTCCTAGGTTTTTTTGAAATCTCGGTACAGAGATTTCCTGCATCTCACTCATAAAAATACCAGAAGGGGCACTAGCCTGGCCAGTGGATTGTGACCTGTTATCATTCCAATAACCAGTCCTTTCGAGAATGCGTTGGGTGTTTCCTTCCTTGCCCTTTCACATGATCTTGGCCGTCTTGCATGCCATTAAAGTATTCCATCACACTCTTGTCCATTTTAGCGATCTTCCTACTTCCTTTTTTTAGCTAGCGGTCAACTTTGTCTCTACTAGTGGCAGGTGTTCTCATCGTTCTTTCCCTGAATTCCGTTAAAGTCACGGATGGTGCGTAGAGCAGAGCACGTCCGAAATTGGACAGGGCAGGTATTTTACTTGACATACTTTATCACCTGTCGTACTGGACAGACTGTGTGGGGCACTAGGAGCGGCTGGGTAGGCCCGTCACGGGAGGAGAAGGTGGAACTAGATCTGCGTGGTAGAAAGGGAGTGGGAACTTCGTGAGACCGTAGAGGTCTGGGAGTGGTTCCCCAGAGTGCGTAAGGATGCTGAAGGCACGGCCGGGAGCCTTGAGCTGAGCATGAGGGCCGCTCCCTGAGTGCTTTAAAGTCTGAGCAAAACACACATCAGAAGTAATCCATCGGATCAAGCTTGGTTTCGACGACAGCCCAGATGAAAGCGATTTTAAACAACCCAGCAGCAGAATTAATCTGTAGGGCTCTAGACCTGATGAGGAGGATTCGGAACAACCCAGCTGCGGGGTATTGCTCCGTTGATGTACTTAGACTAATGTTACCTGTTGACCTAAACAGGGTTAGGTCGCCGAAAGGGTTACAGACCTTGGCCAGATAAAATCCGGGTGAACTCCGATGAGTAAAACCGGCTGTGATGAGAGTTTTTGGCAATCACATCAGCTATTTCGTCCCCAATAATGCTCTTGTAACCGCCAACATTATTATGGCCTTAATTGCCGTTTGGCTATCGGCGTTATTATTGACCTTCGCCTGGAAAAAGATGTAGTATTTCGGAAGCTTAAAGCTTCGGCTTAGCTCTACAATATTTCCGCGAAATAGATTCCGGCGTCCACTCCATCAGCCATATTTGTTAAATTTGTCTTGTAGTTAACACAAGTAATTTTTTTTTTTAAATCCACAGAAATTCGATAAATCCACAATCATCTCCATCAATGCTATGCCACTACATTCGCGCATCGTTGTTGAGCTGAAAGGACCGTGGCTTGGCATGCTGTGGACATCCAAATCACGTTGTCGCGATCAACCAGAGAAACGTTGTAATTTGTTAATAATACTAGCGGAAATGTTAATGGCCAGCATAACGGAAAAGTCGTTTAAGTGAGTAATTAACTTCCACAAATACAAATGTGTATATGTATATACGTATAAAGCAATATCTACTCCAAAAATTAGACGTGTTTGGGAATATCTCAGTGAGATCTATGTATTTGGCAATGATACAAGCAAATGTAAGCGTGTGCGCAAAACACTCTTCACTTTCACCGTGAATGGTTCCAAGAAAATCTGTTCTCTATTCCGTTCGTGTCTCGAAGATCCAAATGATTTTGTATGGCCAATAAAATGGCCACGTGATCAATTCACTGTCACTTTGGATATTACATGTAAGGAAGCGATGAAATGGGGCTGCTCCAAATCACTGCATATGGAGTTTGGACCCTTCGCTGAGCCATTATCCAGTGGTGAGGAAGAGTATATGAATGATTGTAGTTCGGGTAAAACACTTTTGGATGTGGATACAGTGACGGAATAGGTGTAAGCGTAATAATGTCGCGCACTGTAGCACTAATGAAACGGTTATTTGATATGTATTCTTCAATTTACTAAATAAATACAAGTAGAAAATTTTTATATTTTATAAATTTTTATTATTATGCTTAAAATTGTACAACAATCTGATTTGATAATATGTATGTATGCATACATAATATATAATATATGTACGTATTTATACATTTTGCTTCCATAACTCTTGCATTTTTACTTTGTTAAACCTACGCGTATGGCAACTATGCACATATGCCTGATTTTTAATCAAAAATTTTATAATTTTGGTTAACAAACAAACTATTTGAGGTAAAAAATTTATTATAAAATTAACTGATTAGAATGGTAATAAGAAAAAAATAATAATAATCATTTGCAAGCCAAAACGCAAACATATATAGATAATCAAGGGCATTTAATGCTACATATATGTATGTGTATACTAGGTATTTACAAATAGCAGTAGGAATTTTAAATTCACTTAATTGCACCTAAAATAAAAACAAAACTTCACACTTTTTTCCATTGAACAACTACAATTAACAATTGAACAATCATTTTAAACGATTTGTGTTTCTCTAGATGTTGCTTAATCTCTTGTGAATGCATGTGAGCATATTTTGAAAATTGTAAAGTTTATTAAATATTGTAAATTGCATGGCAACATAGTCACCCTTTTCACTTTTAAGTTTTTTTTTATATGATAATTTTTTTTTTGTTTTTTGCTTTTTACTTGAGTTTCACTTATAAAAGTATGCAAATTCACTACTTCTATGAAATAATTCCTGATATTTTTCATAAGGAAGTCTTTGCGTTCTTTTTTTTTTTGTTTTTCTTTTCTTTACTTTATTTTTGAACAGCAGCGGCGACCCACAACAAATTTCTAATGATCCAATATACGCATATTGCCCGAAACGATTTTATTGTCCAGTATGGCACCAGCCGGTATATCGATACGATCACCATGATTTGCAATAATGATGACTGTACCCTGAATAATATAAAACGAAACAAAATTAGTAATCGCCAAACACATTTAACCTCCACGTTAATCAACACGCTTACCCTTAGTGACACGCCGCGTCCGAAAGTGACATCACCAGACACCGTCAAGTGATCCAATTCAATTATATCGGGTATATTGGCAAAACGTCCGAGGAACTCTTTCACTTTGGAGAAATGATTTTCACCTAATTTCACTAGCGGTGTGGTGGGGAACATACGTTGTGGTGACATCACGAGACTGCCATTTTTCAAATGATACAAATTGGACATGACTAAAAGCAAGTCGGAGGTCTTTTTCACAGGTAAGAAACGTGAACGTGGCACATTGATACCGATCGCACCGTCAAAGCATTTCATAGCGGCACCCACAGCGGTTTCCAATTGAACAACACGCACACCATTCTCCATTGTTTTGTTATTAACGATGATCTCCATGTTGAGTGTGCGTTCACGAAGTACACGATCGATGGCTGTGGGTAGGGAGAGAGAATGATTACAGAGATTAAAATTAAAAATACAAACATATATTTCATTTAAAGATCTGCTGTTGTTGTATTTCTGGCAGTGGAGGTCTTTTAAATAACAAATGTTTGCCTCTACTGTAGCATAATGAACTATTAAATATTCAACCTCGACTTCTGCATGCTCAGTGCTTTTTTCTCCCATGTCCAAGTAATGATCCTTTTGCTGAGTAATGTTTATATTATGTATATAAATAGCTGGGGTGAAGAATTCATAGCTTTATTTTGAAGTTCCAAGTTCGCAGAATTCGAAGCTACATTTCATAGAAGAACTCCAAAAAATCCCTCCCCTAAGGAATCAAAATTGTCCGATATTTTTCCTTTGCACAGTAGTGTAGACCGTGTAGCTTTGTTGTCAGGGTTTTCACTCATTTTTTGAGTTTCCAGAACGAAGATATGCTATAACCGCCCGAATAAATCTCGGTATAAACCAAAATTGTTTTTCTCTGCTGTCAATCGGTGGACGCCAATTGGGAGAAGTACACGCAGGCCTAGCACACAGCTTTAAGGCAAACAGGCAAACACATCTTGGCCATAAAACAACTAATCGAATTCTCTGTGTGTTCCGGCCCATCAAGACATCACGTTACTTCAGCGTCCTGTTAGATATGTGTAAAAACAAGGCCGTTCCTATGCCATACTAACTCATACTGGGTTCTGTCGACGAGAGGTGCGTAGAAGCAGCTGTCGTGTTGATGCTAAAGCATGCTGGAGCTGACCTTCCCACTATACTCAACCAGCTCATGTGAAATAGGAGAATCAATAGTTCTCGCGACAGTCGGGTCTTTATACCGGGATGACCCGGATTTATGCTACCGTAGGGAATGCCCGAACAGACATTTACTAGATAACGAACCGCCACCTACGCAGCTCAGGAAGGGAGTACTCGAATTTAAGAACTGCACTCAGCACCACTTACAAACATTCACCGAGATTCCGTCAACAAGTTCCTGAACTCTTTTCCAGTGATTACCTTCTCATGTCAAGCTACTACCTCAAGCTAAAATCTGGTTATTGTAGTCAACCAAACTCCTACCTATCCAGAATTGACCCCGACATACGTGCAGCATGTAATGAGCCCTCGCGAAGCACTAGCCACCTCTTTACATGCCCATTAAAACCAACTGAACCCGTCGAAATAGCTCGTTTCCTGGACCTCACGTTAGATGATCTCGGTAACTTGGACTAAACTCGCAGGGTTGGAATACTTTTTAACTCTAAGCCAAACTTACCATCCAATTTCGCCCAAATGTTGTTGGTATTGAAAAACTTAAACGTTTTCACTGATTTGAAGTCATCAACATGCTCTTTCGGCACTTGTGCGATTTCAAGTAGACGCAATTTGTTCTCAAAGTTAATTAGGGTACCACCCTGAAGGGGAAAGGAAAATATGCGTACAATAGAAATACAGTTCAATTTTAAAAATTTTTTCTATCTACCGTACCTTAACGTCAGCACGGGTTTTATCAGTAACTTCCATCACAAATTCCACAGGTTGAGCAGAGCGCTCCTCACCAACCAATTTATTGAGTATAGCCAAGTCGACGGTAGCGCCTAAATTGTCAATATTGGATAGGAAACAATATTCACGGCCTTCATCAATGAATTTCTTGAGTAAACCAGAATTGCGGAAGGTATCATAGAAATCACCGTGACCAGGTGGATACCAGCTGTTGAGGAAAATAAGAAGTTAAAAATTTAAATACAATAATATTTGAAATAAATTCAATTAATTTAACATACGCATCAATATTCTTATCCACATCGAAATCTTTGGAAACGGGCAAAAACGATTCACGACTAATGCGTGGGAAACAACTCTGATTGAATGTGTGTATCTGAACACGGAAACCGGTATATTTACGTATGATCTTCTGCGTGTCCTCATCGGTGTTGAATGAATTCATGAGAACTAGAGGCACATTGGCATCGTAGGTTTTGTTCAAGTGCTGTGAGCGGGGTAAAAAAAAAATAAATAAAAATTAATCAATAAATAAACTCGATTGCAAATTTATTTCCATTTTACCTCAATTTGCTGCACAGTTAAATCGAGGAACGTCAAATCGGAGCGCACTGGTATAACACTTTTGGGGCCATGACAACCCATTGATGTACCCAAACCACCATTCAGCTTTACGACAACCAACTTGTCCAACATTGTGCGAATCTGCGTTGAAAAACAGTGAAAAGTGTTGAGTCTTTTAAAAGTTCTCAAATTGTTATTGTAAATATGTAGCATAAGCAATTGTTGTTAAGCCAATCGCCAATTAAAATTTTGTTAAATAATATTTAAGCATGAAAATAATTGAAATTTATTCAAAGTGCTTTGTACAATTAATTGTATATCAATAAGCTAAAAGTTTGTTTGAAGCCTTCTTTATTGAAAGTAAATTATCAATAAATTAAAAATTGTTTATGTTTTCTGAGGTATAAAGTCTCGTGAATTTATATTTTTGATCTAGCCAGTAGCTAAGATTCTGGGTATACAATTACAGTTGCGGAGCTATACTCAATTCCTACTGTAAGGTACACGTCGCGCACCATGGAAACTTGAGCAATCCTTGTGCAAGATGCGGTAACCAACCAGTGTGGGTCAAGGCTAAAAGAGAGGAAGCTTCAATGGAGTTTCGGTTTAAATGTTCACTGAAGTCTAAATCCAGCGTCTCTTGACCAGAGGTGCGGGTTCGAGCGTACGTCGGTCATAAAGCAAATGTAAACTTAAAATCCTCTCTCAACGAACAAAAGCCTTTCTTAAAGTTGGTCACCAATCCCGTATTGCTATAAGGTGCATGGATGGATGAACAGCAGCAAAGAGATAATTCGTTATATTTTACAATTTTTATGGGCCCGTTACTGTAAACGAACATGTAGCACAAAAGTGGTTTGCTAGGTTCCGTTCCGGTCATTTCAAAGATGCACCACGCGTCGGGAGGCCTATCGTCGAAAATTGCTATAAAATCATGGGAATAGTGGAAACAGACCGTCACGTCAGCACTTATTGAATTGCTGAGGAACTAAAGATAAGTCAGAAAACCAACCATTTGGAACCATTTGCATAACCTTAGATTCAAAAAGAAGCTCGATGTTTGGTGCCACACGAACTAACGCAAAAAAACATGATGGACCGAATTTCCATCTGCGAATTGCTGCTGAATCGCAACAGAATCGACCCGTTTCTGAAACGTATTGAGACTGGCGATGAAAAATGGGTCACTTACGACAACATTGAGCGCAAACGGCCGTAGTCAAAGCTCGGGGAAGCGGCCCAGACGGTGACCAAGATCGGATTGATGGTCAGGAAGGTTTTGCTGTGTGTTTGGTGGTATTGGCAAGGAATCATCTACTACGAGCTGCTCTCCTATGGCCAAACGCTCGATTGGGTCCTGTGCTGCCAACAACTGGACCGCATGAAGGCAGCACTCATCCAGAAGAGGCCAGCTTTGATCAACAGAGGCCGAATTGTGTTCCATCAGGGCAACGCCAGGCCACACACGTCTTTGGTGACGCACCAGAAGCTCCAGGAGCTCAGATGGAAGGTACTAATGCACCCACCTTATAGTCCGGACCTGGCACTAACTGATTGCCATATTTTTCTGTCCATGGCGAACGCGCTTAATGATGAGAAGTTGGCCTCAAGAGAGACCTGTGAAAATTAGCTCTTCGAGTTTTTTGCCAATAGCGACGGAGCCTTCTACAAGAGGGGTATAATGAAGTTGGCAACAAGTTTACGAACAAAACAGCGCATATTTGACTTAAATCGGACAAATGTACACAAACTTATCATTTTTTGAAAAATCAATAAAAAAACGAACGAACTTTTTACTTGCCCGATATATACAAGTCAACATCTACGCCGAAAATCATGGAAATGAGAGGGCTACATCATGAAGCCTACAACTAATGTCTCAGTTATTTTCCAAAGGAAATACCATAAATTCGATATGGTCCTCAAAGTAGTGAAGACTTTGTCATAGCCGAAAATAGCCTTTCTTTTTTGCTTTAAAGTAACTTTCATAACAAATAAGAGCGAATCAAATTCAGATTTTTTTATATAAAATACTGAAGGTACAATATTTATTGAATTATTGATTTATTTATATCCTTATATTTTTGCTCGAAAACACGATGAAATATTGAAAAAAAAATCTCTATATAATTAGAATAATTACAAAGCACTTTAAATATATATATATATATATAATATTATATTTCACTAATTTGGGAAAGAAAAAATATTTGATATTCATATACATATTTAGCAGTTATTTTAGGAAAAATTTTAATACTTTTTTTTGTATGCCAATTGTGATATATTTTTGAGTTAATTTCGAGCATTAAATAAATTAAGCACCATTAATGCTGTTCAAATGCTGTTTCGTAATGGAAATAACCAGCGTTTTTATGTTGATTACGCCATAAAATCAATGAAGCGCAATTCAAACTGGGGAAATCTAAAATTTTGTTTTTAATTTTTTTTTTTATTTTAATTTCCATTAATTTCTGCCAATGAATTTTACTACCAAATCCACCGAATCCTTCAACATAAAGCAACGCCAGATATCAACTTTATGGAGCAAAGAGTATGTGATAAAAACAAAGTGACACACTTACAACCATAAGCCAGCGCTGAGAGTGAATATACGTAAGAAGCAATTAGTATTTAAAGTAGTAAGAAAAAAAATGGAAAGTTAAAAAAGAAAGATTTACAAATAGAAAATTTTAAGTCTAAGACATTTTTCAAAATATTAATTTATATATTATTGCAATATCGAAAGCCAAGAGTTTATTGTGAGAAAAAGCCTTAAAGAGTTTATTGTATGTAGATAGCATTTATTACATAGCTGCTTAAGTAGTATATATATATAAGACAAGATAGAAGAAAGTACATAGTAGTTATGTATTCAAAAAGCATTTGATTTGGATAACAATGAAATATTGAACAAGTTTTGTATAATAACACAACATTTTAACTTTTATTGTAATTCGTTCGTTACCTCGTTCTATATATGTAAGAGTAAACACCCGTTACGAAATGGTTCACCAATTCACATACAAAAAATGAGAGTTGTAATAGAAACAGGCAAATGTTATGGTATACACGTTTATATATATGTATATATATAATTAATAAATATTATACAAGTATGTAGTACATATGTACAAATATATATGTATATGAAAATAATGCACAAAAATGAAATGAAGCACTGTACAGATATAACGTGAACTGAAACTGATATAATTACCTGCTCATTTTTGGGTGAATTCAGTTTGGAGTAATCCATCACAGCATCTGCGGGCAGTTTTTGTATTTTATTCCAATCGATGGACGGACCCTCTATAAAAACAAATACAAGATGCTAGCATAAATTATATATGAATATATATATATATATATATATATATATATATATATACAGGGTTATCAATTTTGAGACTTCAAAAATAAACATAAATAAAACCAACAAAATCAAATAACCCCCTCTCGAGTTTCTGCACACTTCGATCCATTTGAGGCAAGTTTTGAACACTTTTTGGCACGAATTTGGCGGTATTTCATCCATCAGTGTTTAGCATTGCGTACTGACATTCGGAAAGCTCGGGTTCATATCCCGGTGCCACCAACATCCGAACGTTATGGAAAATTTAAATAAAAAATAAAAAAATAAAAAAATTAAGTTGAATTTTCCAATTGCAGTCGCCCCTCGGCAGTGTATTTCCTCGTAAAAAAAACCCATCAGCTGCTCGGAGGCGGCTTAGTATAAACTGTAGGCCTCTCCATTTGTTGGAATAACATCAGGACGCCAAAAACAACAAATTGGAGGAGGAGCTAGGCCGCAGAAATCGCTTCAGCGGTTACAAAGTGCCATTTATATATACATTATATATCCGCATAAACGCGTCAATCCAGAGATCCATACTTTTACCACCAACCGAAGGTGCCCGGACTAGAGAGAGGACCCCGCTTTTTTCCTAGTGGCAACAAGGTAACTGAGATGATTAGGATCTGTTTCTGTTTTCTCCTCTTGGACTTCAGAGCCCCTCTCAGATGCTCCGGGCTCACGTGGACAGTTTGTTGCGTTCAAAACTTGTCAGAAAGGTATTTCCGTTGCGGGTCAGGGCGTTAGAGGCGAATCCCGAGTGATGTTCCTGCATATTAAAATGTTCACAGCCTTTTGATTGAAGTTGACTCATTTTTCTCTCTCGTTATACGGTTTAAGCCGATTAAGAAAAAACGAACAAAAAGGAGTTTAATTTTATATCTTCAGAGAAGTTTACAACTCCCGCGTTCTTTCCTTGGAACTTCATCTCAGGAGCTTTTCTCTGCTGTTATACACCAGGAATAAGTACTCTTACACCAAAAACTTGCCGCAGTTAGATATTGACGTAAAAGCAGCTTTAGACAAGCCCAGGTATCACAGTCACTATCGCGGTGCAGGCTTCAAGCGTTCAGTCCTTCTCTGAGTGTTCAATCGCCTCGCACGAATCACAGGTTGCACGCATGCTCTATGCAGAGTCTCTCACGTTGAAAGAATTGCATTCATCTTCTCCTTTCCTTTATTGAGTTTCAAAGCTTTTGTGAATTTTAATTTTTATGGTTACGAAGCTGTAATCCTAGATGCAGTGGTGATGAGAAACATAGCGTTGCAGTTTAAAGAGAAACTACGAGCTACTTCGAGTCTTTGATGATAGGTAGTTCCTCGATGGGCTTCGAGGGCTTTGCTGGTGCTCTACGAAAAAAAAATACCAACAGTGTTAAATGGCACGATCTTGATGGCCGATTGGCATTTCCAAGAAAAGAGATGACGCGGTCGGGAAATATCTTGTTGAAGCCATATATTGTCCAAGTTGTATTCTTCAATTGCAAGCCATAAAGGTGGTGGTCCTACGTCCATAACGTTCCGAATTGACAGTCTCGCTGATGTCATTTTCAGAGAAGTAAGATCCAATCACTCTTCCGCCAGACCAAAGACCGCTCCAGACAGTAAGTTTTTTTTTCGATGTAATTGCCTCTCTTCAATTATTTGAGTATTCTCGTAGCCCTAAATGCGATAATTTTGCTTATTTACGTGCGCCCGGAGTGAGAAATGTGTCTCCTCACTGAAGAAAATTTTCACTGTTTGCTGTTCAAGCACCCGACATATGTACTGCGTTGTGAATGGACACCTGGCTTCAGTTGTTATATGAGCTGGACTTTATATGGTTGTAGGTGTTGAGGTCCAAGTGCAAAATATGGTTTAATATAACGTAAGAAAGTCGATATTTGAGTTATTTGATTTGGCAGTTAATTTTAACAGTTGCCAAAATACAGCCCTGTACTTTTGAAACCACAAAATGGATAACCCTATACACATAAATATATTATGAATTTTTTTAAACTTACCCTCTTGCAAGAAACGTCCGAATAGATCGGCAAAACGTGCCATTTCTTTCTGCAATTGCGGTCGCTTGTCTGCTGGTGCAGTCTGTTGCAGACGATCCAAATCATTTTCCAACGATTTCAGTGCATCCCGTTTGGTTACTTCATGGAATTCTTTCGTATCTGATGGCGCTCTTTGGTGGCCACGAACCTGAAAATTAAATTATATTATAAATAAATATGTCTTCAGTAAAATGGAATTTTGGAATTTCAAATGAAAACACAAAATAAATTGAAAAAAAAAAAACCTATATACAAATTATATGATATGCTCCAGCAGAAGAAGACGACTTTGCCAAATATGCAGTTTATGAACCACTGAAACATACTTATAAGCGCTGCTGCCGATTGTGCTTAGCTACTTCAACACCGAGGTGGGCAAAGAATGAATCCTCGGGATAGTAGTCTGAAAATTCAGCATGTGCAGAACAAACATTCCCAATGGGTTGAGGCTACTGATCGATTTCGTTGTTGTACTACATTCCATCGGGAGTAAATTGCACAATGAACTTGGCTGTCCCTGGTATGTAAGATAGACGGCCGACATGTATTCATTGGTTTTGAAAGTGCGTACGCTCTGAGGACCCAACATCACCTCGGCGAATAACTTATAGCAGCCAAAGATACTCCCTGCAATCAAGCACGACCGTCACTAATCGATATCGAAATTCACGAAAGACTGTCAAATGGGGTTTTAACCGACTTAAGCAACTGTTCGCTAAAAAAACACTCGTCAACAATTCAATATAAAAGAACTTTGCGACGATATTTCAAGTTCTCTTTTGAAAGACTACTAAGCGACAATTGGTTTTCGAAAATTTTGAAGAGCTGATAAGATGAGAGGAATCTCGCGCTGCAGTAGAAGAAGATTGCCTTTCAGCATCACATTGCAGGAGCATTGTAAAGGACAACTTACCACAAAGTTCTAAACTTCATTCGCAAAGAGTGCGATAACACCTTATAAACTCTCACCCCACCTCTCACCTCACTACCTCACTACACTCACTAACAACCCTCTCTTTTTGTTTCGAACCCGTCAGCACAGCTTGCTCACTGTGCCTCCTGTAAAACGACTTCGACGATATAGTCTAACTTTGCCTGCTCCTAAGCGGCGTTGAACAAGTACCTACCATAACAATCAACTTGCAGTACATTCATTTTAAGAAATATAGGCTTAAGAGGTAAGCATTTATAGAGAGCAAAATAATGGCTTAAACGCTACTTTCTTGCAGAATATAGTCGAGAAGTAAGCAAGGGCGTACTCTACAGTCTACGCCAGTTTTTCTAAAAAAAGTTGCCGTATAAAATGTAAAGCCCACTGTCAAAAACTGATGGGACCATATCAGTATAGACGTAAAGCTCGTTCAACCATATAAACCAGATTTTCGCCATAGATCAGATACTGAAAAAGGCACATGCGAAACAACTGACGAAACGCTCAAAAAGGTGCTACTTTGGACTGAGTAGACAATTAAAAAGTTAAGTCCTCTTGCGTCGAAATAAGACCAATTTCTAATGTTGAGAACATGCGAAGAGTCAGAAAGGTACGATGGAACGATGAACTGTATGAGTTATACGATGGCATTTGCAAAGCTCAACGAATTAAGAAACAGCGTCTGCGTTACAACACTGAGAGCATTCGATGAAGTACTCACTGGTGGAAGCAGAGGAAGAGAAAGACCTGCAAAGAGCAGCTGGAGCTGAAAAAGAAACGACTGAGTACGCTAATTCGACTATCATCGCGTAAGGTTAGTCTCGGCCAAAAAAGAGAAACGACGTAAAAGTCTAATGTACAGTTGACTACAGCGACTGTGCGTCGTATCTTCAGCGTTCCAAAATACAAAAAGAAAACTAAAAAAAAAATTGAAGCTAAAATAGACCAAAAAACAATTAAACGCACTCAAGTGCGAAGTCACCAAACATCAAAAAAAAAAAAACATTTTTTAGTCATAAATACAAGCGCGCGAAGAATACAGTTTCATTGCAACAGTGACAACAATTATTTTATGACATTACTGCGTGCAACTTTGCGTGGCAAAAGTAATTTGCTTGAGTAATTCGATTCCACATTTGCAAAGCACCACGAAGAAATTCAGTCTTTGATGTGGCTTAGAAGTGAGAAGAACTTGATTTTTTTGCACCAACATTTCACTTACAATAACAACAATGCGTTATAAAACAGTTGGCTGCCTGCAAACCCTCTGCCTGGTGCTGCTCGTCCAGGCACAGGAGCCACAACACGAATACGAAGTGAAAAATATGAGAAGGCGCGGTGTAGTGGAGAATCTCGGTGAGGGTTTGAAGTTTGCAGGCCAAATGTTTGGTAAATTCAATTGAATATAATGTAGAGCGCAATGTAATATTAGTTGTTGTTTTTCTTTTGAAGGCATCAATACCGCCGCTGACGTGGCCAATCTCGTTGCAATGGCATTTGCCAATAAGAAACCGGATTTTATGTCAATTTTCCAGCAAAAACAAACGAACGAGCGTGACGGTGAATCGGAGGCAACGCATACAACGGGTGGTAACTCTCAGGAACAACAACAACAACAACAACAACAACAACAACAACATCAGGAGGAGAAAGGCGAAAGCGAGGAGCAATCGAACAAGCGCATCAAACCGTTCGACTTTAGCACTAGCCGCTTTGTCACAGGTGTACTGCGCATGGTTGGCTTCGATGCAACCAAATTGGGCGCACTCGCAATAAATGCTTTAGTTATGATTGCAGAGGTGGTGAGTACTTAGCGCAGGCGCAGAGCGACACAACGAAACCGCAGCTATAAAATTGTGTTTTGCAATTCCCCTTTCGTTTCTTACTTAAAATATTTCCTCTCCTTAGATTGGCAATGCGTTTACATCACCAGCACGCGAGCACACGCCGTCACCCACATTCTTCGATTATTTTGCTGACGGTGTGCCGGATGCGTTACGCGTTGGCGAACGAGAAACACATCAGCCGCGCGCCTTACGCGAAGGTACACCCATCGATTGGTATCTCGAGAATCCCGATGAAGGAATGCGACGCACTTTGGACGATGCATTGGATTCAGAGCTGGCAGAGCGTATAACGCAGATGATCGCAAATGTGGAGCAGCAAAGTGGTGGTCAAGGTGGTTGCCTGAAAATGTTGATGTGTAAAAGTTCACCAATTATTTGGGGCATGCAACGGTCGGTGAGTGAGCGTGTCGCGGGTAAGGCAACAAATGCAACGGAGCCGGAGGCACCGTCCAAAGAAGGAATGCAGCCGAAGAAAATATTTTCATCCGAAGTGTTTTTCGCGCATTTTCCAACACTTCAAGAATTTCGTAAACACAGCACCGTCTGTGATGAGCGTTTTCGCGACGAGTGTAACTTAAAGGAGGATATGGACAAGCTGATGAAGGATGTGAAAAGCTCAAAGAGGAGCTAAGATAAATTATGTCTAGTTATATCTTAGACAAAGATGTTGTAGTTAAGATTTCAAACAAATATTTTAACAATTGGACAGTGTAGAATTTTTTTTAATTTTTGAAATTTGGAACTTTCCATTAAACTGTCTTCACTACTACTCGCTACTGTCTATTCTTAAGTTATACTGCAATATTAAATGTATGAATTTGTTGCAAAAAATATTTACTTTTTTGCTTATATTTAAAATAAAGAGAATCATTTTTTGGAAATTTAGCACATTTTTGCAAAAATAAATAATACAAAAGACAATAAATAACTTAAAAAATAAAATAAATTAAATCAATAAATTAAAAAAATTAATAAAATAAAATATACAATAGATAAATAAAAATATATAAAAATAAATAAAATGAAATAAAATAATTAAAAATAAAAAATGGACGATGAATGTAATTCAATCGTTTTCAATCAGTGCTGCAGGTCCCATCCCGGAAAACCATACAATGGCACCATGTAAAATAAATGCTGAGACATGATGGCGGATACCTCATGGAGTGATGCTGTCTCACATGTTGCCATTTTGGCTCTTTGAGAAAAATTTACGAAATAATGAGGAAGGAGAATTATTCACATATTCTGTAGGCCCATTTTCCCGATATTGTTAATTTAGCTTCCTAACCTGAAGTAGAAGTACTATTTCAACAAGATGGTTACCCGAAGCATAGTCCTAAATCATGAAAGAAATGTTAGCTGGGCAAAATTTCAAGGTGATGCAATGGCTTGCTCAAAGTCCTGACCTCAATCTGATTGAAAACTTGTGCTCCATCGTGAAAAGAAGATACAGGAGCCCCGTAAAACGATTTCCTTTCAAATTTTGAGTGGAATTCGTAAAAAGAAAGCCTTCGTTCGACTCAAGTACCTTGTACGCAGAGTTTTTTCTAACGAATTTTCTAGTCGCTTGTGTGTTTTGTTTTGTTTGTATGTTATTATTAGAAAATAATCACTTAATGAATATTAAATAAATTGGATTTATTTACAAGTATTTTTTTAAAGATTTATTTTTGTTGGTATTTTGTACGCAGATTTTTTTGCCCACAGTGTGCGATTATTATAATTGGCATTTTGTAGATTTTGAAGCGCAAATATGGCACTTAATTATTTTTTTTTTTTTGTTTTTGTTTTGTTTTGTTTCAAACGTCTTATCAACGAGATTTAAGCGATAGTTTGTCATGAAAATTGTTTTTTCTGTAAACAATGCTATTAAATAGTGCAAATAGTTGATTGCGTAAATAAAATTGCCCTCTATGGTACAAACGTATATATATTATATGTATAGACATATATATGTACAAACGTGTGTAAGTATATTTGCATTCCAAATTCACCTTCAGGCAGGATAAGGTTAAAAATGTTGCACCATTAACGTACAAGTATATGATGTATGTACGTAAGTAAGAGCATAACTATAAATAATATTTTACGTAAATATAAATAAGTAAAAGTAAATAATTTAAAATTATTCGCATTTGCTGGTAAACAAATAGCAATAAATTATTCTTATCAGCACAGCATTAGGTAGTGATTAAATGCAGTAGAACAAAAGATGTCCGACTGACATAAGTGGACATTTTTATTTACTTAATATTATTTACAAAAACAAATATTTTAATATATGTTCTTTGTAATGTGTGATGAATATCATATATACATATATAAATTTCTAAAGCCTATAAGTTGGCAAACAGGCTTTTATTTGCGATGCATTAAGAGCTGAAATTACGTTTGTGGGTGGATTGCGTATTGAGTGCTACACAAACAACGCATTACAACTAAGTATTTATCTATTTACACACGTCTTCATTTTATTAATTTTAAGAAAAAAAGTGTGTATAGCACATGCAGTTTTCTCTGATATTCATTCTTTTTATACAGTTTAATTTTTTTATTATTTTATTGCCAAGTCAAGATTTTTTTGGGGATTTTCGGCTCTCCGACTGATAGCAACTACAGCGGCTCTTTGTGTATTTTAGTGGTATTATTAATCATTTTCCGTCGTAAAAAAAAAATTTGTAGTTTAACATTTATACAAAAACACGTTTACTATTGACCGCATAAGCATGACATGCATTTTTCCCCTACAAACAAAAAGTCACTCATACGACATGACGTACAGAATTATGAAATTCATTTGATAAGATATTTGCACTAAGAGAAGTGGAAAGTTACTGCAATTAATTTCGATTATTTGCATGTATATGTATGCAGGTTAAAAAATAAATTCAAAGATCGCACGTGAAATGAAAAATATTTCAATTAAAAAAACAACAACATTCGTTTTGGCACACGTTTGCCGGTAAAAATAACAAAAAAATAACAAATAAAAGCAAAAAAAAATTATGAAAAAAGGTAATAATATTACGACTGCGACAATACGTGATTTCGTAGCGCATTTCGTGTTTTTTATATATACAAATGTAGCACATATTAAATAATATTTATTACGTTGCTTATAAATATATCTATGTAGGTGCGTAAGTACGTATTACAGAGAAATATTTTACTACATTTTTTATTAATATTCATTGTATCGACGCTTTGGCGTATGTATTATGTAACACATATAAACACAATTAGTTAATTAAAACAGCGCACGAGTAATGCAACAAAAATGTCGCTTACACTCGTTACAAACAAATTGGCGCGTATTAATGTTGTGTGAAAAAAATGTAAGATATTGTGTGCTATACAAATTTTTAAATGACTACGCAAGCATCCATTATGAATATACATATGTATGCATAATATAAATAAGTTCAGCGTTTTTATTTAAATTTTTAATAAGATTTTATAACCAATAAAAATTATTAGTTCAAAAATAATTTATTTATTCAAATAATCGACAAAGAAGTTTAATAATAGTTTTCTTATCAGTCTTTTCAGATTTCAAAACTCAAGAAAAAGCGCAACAAAAGTGTTGTTATCACTTGACCTAAGCATCTTAGCTTATACAATACAAATACAAGCAGCATATATAATTATTTTCATTATATTTATAAATTACTTTTTTCCGCTATGTTTTATTTATTTAAATATTATATTTTACATTTCGTATATTTTTTTATTTTACTCTACTTACTTTATTCTACTTTATTTTATTTATTTATTTTTTGTATATTATTTAAATATTTATTTGTATATTTCTTTATTTATTTTTTTTATTTTTCCATTTTTAATTTTACAATATTTTTAATTAATTTTTTTACAATATTATATTTTATATTTTTTTTATATTTATTTAATTTTATTTATTTTTATATTTTATATTTATTATTTTTTATTTACTTTTATTTTTTTTAATTTTTTTTTTTTACTTTATGAATTTCTACTTTATTCTTTTTTCATTCTCTTTTATTTTTTTATTATTTTAATTATTTTTCTTCTTTTTTCTTTCATTTTTGATTTCATTATTTTTATTTTTCTAATTATTTAGTTTTTTGAATTTTTAAATTTTTTAAGGTTTTTTTTTTATTTTGTTACTTTTTTATTTGATTTGTCTAATTTTTTTTCTTTTGTTTATTGTGTAATTTTCCAATATTTATTATATTTCTTTTTGCTTAACTTTTTGTTCATTTTTAATCATTGCTGATTTTTTTTTTGAACTACGTTTAAGCTTTAACTACAGAGAGGAGAAAATTGTTTTAACTGTTTTGTAAAAGTGTGCCATAAATCTTTCATATTACCGACACTCTTTTTCCTCACTTGCGTAATTGAAGATTTTAATCCATAGCAATGGGGACGTCGACCGCTTAAGTGGCGTTTAAACCGCAAACATTATTTCTGTTTACGTTTCCCTCAAGAGCACCAGCATACTAACGACCACACCTACTGGATGTAGAGGGTGACTTTTTAGCTATTATCTTTTTGGCAACACTGGTTTAAACAGCTGACGCATATTTGGTGTTTTGTAACACTATCAAACATCTTCAGCTTGGTCTATGATGAACAACGCTTGAGAAGTATTGAATTTTATGTTCAAAATGCGTGTTCTGTTAAGAAAGTTCATCGCGCGCTCCTTCCATATTATCGTTAAGCTTATTTTTGGCTTAATGGGTGCGTAAAAAAGAAGCCAGAAGCATTGCAAGAGCCACCAATGTATCCAGAAAAAGTCACAGTTTGGTGCAGTTTATCGGCTGGTGGCATCACTAGAACGTACTTCCTCAAAGGTGATGCGAATCGTAACGCAACGGTGAATAGTGAACGGGGCAAACGTGAGATGATATCAAACTTTTTTTTGCCCAAAATACAATGTCTATACAGACAAGCCAGCCTCATTTGACGCATTGGAGGACAACGTTGAAGCATTTATTCGTGAGATACAGGCCGAAATGTTGGAAAGAGTATGCCGAAATCCGACTAAGCAGATGGAGCGCAGGCACGGTCAACATTTTAATGAAATAATCTTCAAACATTAAATTATATGGACCGTACTATCGATTCAAATAAAGATTTAATGAATTTTTTTGAATTTATTGCGTTTTTTTTTTAAACTTTCCTATAGCTCTTAAAAAAATCACCCTTTACATACATTTTTACTCTACATAGACAAATATACAATAATTAAGTGTGAATAAATATTTCACTGGCAATAAAAAACTATTAACAAACCGCAAAATGGCACACTTTAATTGAAAAAAAAACGATTGGAAGAAAAAAAGAAATAAAAAAGATAAGAATTGAAGTAAATATGTACCTCAGAAGTAATGGAAAAGCATGATGCCTAACTTTAAATACAAAGTATAGCAACCGCAAGCAGTTGACACTCAAAGCACAGTGTGTTAGAATAACTGTGAAGGTAAGTACTAAGCAAAGACTCTTTAGATACTATTTAAAAAAAATGCTAACATTTTATTTTAGCAGCATCAACTACAGATACTTTGACGGCCTCCCACACCAAGAAATGATTTTTACGTCTAGTGCACCTTACGTATATCTCTTCTTTCTCCATTCAAGGAGCTTGAGGTCGAAATTTTTTGCTGGCCAAACCAAAATGGATAAGCTAAGTGGTTTTACCACCGGGAAAGAAAAGTTCCTGCCAGAGCTGAGACACGAGTTAAAATTCTTGCTAATCTTCTTGATAACAGTCTTTTATAAAGTTTCATATTCAAAACAAAAATAAAGATTAAAATCTAGTTTAGTATTCAATGTTACATTTTACCTGGACTAAGGAAT